GTTTGGGATAAATCTTTGGAACTGTTGTGTCCTCAATTTTTGGGTCTAAATTTTCCCATAATCCCCAAAACGTTCCCTTTCAAATGCTACCAAGGTTATGCATATGCTTTTTCATATTTCTCCTTAAGAAACATTTCAATTTAAAGCCCTAACCATATAGGCAATTCCCACGAGGGTAAAGGGTTAAAGAGCATTCCCATATAATCTGTCACCAATGGATTTTATCAAATGCTATATTAGGTTGTAATCTATATCCCGTCACGTTTGGGGCTAAACCCCCTATATTCCAAAAGGTTCTTTTCTGGTTCCCCCCCATATCCCAACAACAGAAGGAAAACGCTAAAAGGTCACGTACATTTAGACAAGTATTCTCTGGCAGACTAGTTGTTGTCTTGCCCTAAAACTGCACACCCTTCAATTTTCGTCAATTCTTGTGCATTGTATTGATTTTGGTTATTATTTTTTGTGAGAGGGGGAAAAAAAGAACGAAAGCGTTGAGTTTTTTCTGGCTAGAATATGTTTTCACTTCTACCCAGTTGAAGTAGGTTAAGCCATTCTTTTCATAATGTTGACATGTTAACAAGAATGCTGCCTACGATCTGAGGAAATTTTATTTTAGTTATTGTGGGAAAAATTACATTTGGGACTCTCCGGTGTGGGAATGAATGGGAGGAGGGAAGGGGGGGGGCGAGTGAAAAAGAGTGGAATTTTCAACACAGAGAATGACAACACAAAACAAAACACACAAAACAACGCCCTCTTTGACTTATGGGAGAAATTGTACTTCCCTACCAATGAACAAAGCTTGCATCTGATCCAACCAGCCTCTCTGATGCACCGTAGCCCTCCTAAAAAACCATTGGCTGGTCCAATCAAATGAATCACAGGTCAATATGTAACTGTTGAACACGGACTTGGGCTTGAAGACATCAACAACCCTTAGAGTGACATTGATTAGACATAGGAGTAGACCATAAACCAGGGAAGGGTTTCTCCTTCTTTTATTACATCACTAAGTCATTAGTGCTGACAGATACAGTGACCAAGAACCATACCACAGAACATGAGAGGATGCAGGTTGCACTAGGTTCCCTCCGGGGCCCTGGGTGTTCATGTCTACCTCCCTCTGAGCTTCCCAGATGTCTTCTGATCGTACTCCCAGTGGTCAAAGAGGAAGAGAGGAATCCTACCGCCAGTCACGCAGGGAAGACGACTATCAAAGAATTATGGGATGAATATAAACAATTTTTGTCATATCATGTGATTGTAATGACAGGGAAATTAGCTGGGGGACATGCAGAGAAAAATCTGGACTTCTGAGAAGTTGTTGTGTGTACACCAGTCTCCAGCCACTCTAAACACAAAGCTTATAGAAATGTCTAAAAATTCCCCAAAGGGAAATATGGATATTGCATGAATAGGGCTATGGGATTAGGAGATCATCACACACACACACACACAAAACACAGTGACACTGCAGTAATAATAGGCTTTGAGAATAGATGTGGGTCAGCCATCAGATTAGAGTTCCTTATTAAACACACAGGAAATGAGGTCTAAACTGACAGCTCTAACCCTCCAGACTTCTAACCCAGAAACCACAGAGGAGCCGCCGCAACAAGGTACACACACACACACATTTATTACCACACACACATCCTTATCAATCAGTGACCATCTAACCCACATACATACACACGTGCGCACACACACACACACTTCTCCTGCTCTCCTCCTCTCACCAAGGGTCAGAGTAAAACCTGTACAATGTATCATTTACATTACATTTTGTCATTTAGCAGACGCTCTTATCCAGAGCGACTTACAGTTAGTGAGTGCATACATTTTCATACTGGCCCCCCGTGGGAAACAAACCCACAACCCTGGCGTTGCAATCGCCATGCTCTACCAACTGAGCTACATTGGGGCCAGCACGGGGCCAGCATCACACTGGAATGTATGAACAAACGTATACAACAAAATCTTTATAAGACACAAAGACCTTTTGGTATAAAGTGCCATGATGGCACTATGAAGTACATGAGACAGAGTGCCAAGTCAAAAGAGGAAAGAAAACACAGCCAGATCCCAGAGGAAACAATGGTCAGCCAATCTGGAATGTGTCTACCACACAGCGATATCGACACTGCCAAATGTTTCAATCCCTTGCAGCTCACAAGGACTTTTCTCAGCCTCTCAGCGCAGCCAGTGTAAGATATGTAAGCAGATTCTTAGAAGTACAATCACAATTTGCAAGAAATTTCAAGTGGGATAAAAAACTGTCTCAATTCCAAACAGTTTAAATTCCATGCCTTCTGTTTCTATGGGAAAACAATGACTTCCTCAACTAGGTTATTCCGGCTTGTTTGCATCTACATCCCATTCCCAACTCTCAGCCTGAAAGCTCTCTGTTCATAGAGGAACTTTGAACCATCAGAGCCACTATATGGCCATTAGGAGACATGGAGTCGTCAGTGACTTCACTACCAATCACATGTTCTAATAATGTCTGTGTGGTCATTTAAAGACATTTTAACCATACAGTCCTTCCTCTACATTCACAACAACAACCACCATGATGTAACCTGCCAACAGAGTGACCTCTGGAGACCGCAGGCTGAGATAACCGTTCCCTATGACTGTGTAAAGCTCATCAGAGGATGAGTAGCTAAAGCTAACATGAGCGTTTGACACAAGCACTAGCCCGTACTAAGTGAAATGGAGTATTGGTAGAGCTATACTTCCACTGTAGTGTGGACCAAAACTGGAGAACCTGAGAAACCTATAACAAGAGTCCAGGCCAGGACTGAGTCATCCCAACCCAACCCCAGAGGTTCAACAAGGGTTTGTTTGTGTCAAGTATTAAACTGCATATGGTATTGTAGTGATTCTTTGGGACTCAGATCTGGCCAATGGAAGGTTACGCAGTCCAGTTCTTATGGGCAGGCCATTGCAAGCTTTGTTGTTGTTAGGAGCGTGCAGAGAAAGACACAGAGAGACAAAGACAGGAACAGAGAGACAGACATCAAGATGGAGAAACAGGAACAAAGTCACAGGAACAAAGACAGAGAGAAAGAGGACTAAAGTGAGAGAGAAGTCTTGGTAAGCCCAGAGTCTTAGTGAGCCAGTCAGTCAGTAGTAGACAGCCCAAACTCAGAGAATGACATTAAAATCGGTGCGTCGCCATGGCTGGAGAGCCAAATGAACAGTGACTGGTGGAATATTCGGTGGATAATGGTACAGTTAATGCGACATGCACCCATAATTGGGCTGCCGCGACCGCAAACGAGAGACGCAGGGGCAGGAATCACTTAAATTAAACCCCTGATTGGGAGTGAGCGTAGAGCTGAATTTACTAGATCATACACCCCCTTTTCTCTTTAACAGAGCCCGTTATTCATGCCAACAGCCGGAAAAAGTCCCAACCACATCTCTAAAGGTTTAATAGCAGTAGGATTACAGTGAGGGAAAAAAGTATTTGATCCCCTGCTGATTTTGTAAGTTTGCCCACTGACAAAGAAAAGATCAGTCTATAATTTTAATGGTAGGTTTATTTGAACAGTGAGAGACAGAATAACAACAAAAAAATACAGAAAAATGCATGTCAAAAATGTTATAAATTTATTTGCATTTTAATGAGGGAAAGAAGTATTTGACCCCCTCTCAATCAGAAAGATTTCTGGCTCCCAGGTCTCTTTTATACAAGTAACGAGCTGAGATTAGGAGCACACTCTTAGCCTGTATAAAAGACACCTGTCCACAAAAGCAATCAATCAATCAGATTCCAAACTCTCCACCATGGCCAAGACCAAAGAGCTCTCCAAGGATGTCAGGGACAAGATTGTAGACCTACACAAGGCTGGAATGGGCTACAAGACCATCACCAAGCAGCTTGGTGAGAAGGTGACAACAGTTGGTGCGATTATTCGCAAATGGAAGAAACACAAAATAACTGTCAATCTCCCTTGGTCTGGGGCTCCATGCAAGATCTCACCTCGTGGAGTTGCAATGATCATGAGAACGGTGAGGAATCAGCCCAGAACTACGCGGGAGGATCTTGTCAATGATCAAGGCAGCTGGGACCATAGTCACCAAGAAAACAATTGGTAAAACACTACACCGTGAAGGACTGAAATCCTGCAGCGCCCGAAAGGTCCCCCTGCTCAAGAAAGCACATATACAGGCCTATCTGAAGTTTGCCAATGAACATCTGAATGATTCAGAGGAGAACTGGGTGAAAGTGTTGTGGTCAGATGAGACCAAAATGGAGCTCTTTGGCATCAACTCAACTCGCCGTGTTTGGAGGAGGAGGAATGCTGCCTATGACCCCAAGAACACCATCCCCACCGTCAAACATGGAGGTGGAAACATTATGCTTTGGACCGTCAAATCTTGGGTGAAAACCTCCTTCCCTCAGCCAGGGCATTGAAAATAGGTCATGGATGGGTATTCCAGCATGACAATGACCCAAAACACACGGCCAAGGCAACAAAGGAGTGGCTCAAGAAGAAGCACATTAAGGTCCTGGAGTGGCCTAGCCAGTCTCCAGACCTTAATCCCATAGAAAATCTGGGAGCTGAAGGTTCGAGTTGCCAAACGTCAGCCTCGAAACCTTAATGACTTGGAGAAGATCTGCAAAGAGGAGTGGGACAAAATCCCTCCTGAGATGTGTGCAAACCTGGTGGCCAACTACAAGAAACGTCTGACCTCTGTGATTGCCAACAAGGGTTTTGCAACCAAGTACTAAGTCATGTTTTGCAGAGGGGTCAAATACTTATTTCCCTCATTAAAATGCAAATCAATTTATAACATTTTTGACATGCGTTTTTCTGGATTTCTTTGTTGTTATTCTGTCTCTCACTGTTCAAATAAACCTACCATTAAAATTATAGACTGATCATGTCTTTGTCAGTGGGCAAATGTACAAAATCAGCAGGGGATCAAATACTTTTTTCCCCCTCACTGTATATGTATTTACCGTTCCAAATCAATGTTTCCAGATCTGCACTAAATGTATCGTAAGACTCAGAGTCGTCTACCTGAGTGTATATGGGAAATATTTCCCATAAGGTGGAGTTACTACACTGATTGAGTGATGATTATTTCCCATAAGGTTGACTTACTACACTGATTTAGTGGTGATTAAAGGTGGAAACAGAGACTTGTGGAGGATTGGAGGGATCCTCGGTGTGATTGCCAGGACCTGCTGCTGAACAGTATTCCACAGTCCACACCGCCACATTGGACATACTTGGCATTACCATAGCGACGTTTAAAAGCAAAAGAGCGACGTTTACACTTTGGTAAGAGGGAGGCCTTTCTTGGTAAGCGCTGGCCTGAACATTCCATCTCTGTCTAAGACCTCAGATATTCCATTATAACCAAAAGCTCTGAAATGTCTACTGTTATTTTTTGTGATAAAACATTTAGTTTGCAATTTTTATTAATTTGTGTACATGATATAGATATTGGAGCTTGTGTATGTTCATAGTAACGAGAGCTACAGGTTTTGGCTAGTAAAAGTGAGATAATTCATACATAAGTTATTAACTGGTTAAATTAGGTTGTCATGGGCTCCATTTACATTTGGGTTGGATAGAACACACACAAACAAAACAATAACCGATTTATAACATGATTTATAGGGCCTTTGGAGGAACCGCAGAACCCCGCGCCGGCTGGACTCGGCTCCGAGGGGTGAAAAGGGGGAACGGCAGGGGAGAACAAGGAGGAGAACAGTGGGTTCTGGCAGCGGAACGCCCACACATCCGCCCTCTGATCAGAACAATTATACACAACTCATTACCAGTTTACAATACCACCCAGACACAATGCCTAATGAGGAAAAAGAGACATACAGGAACATATGCAGAGGTGTGTGTGCTCAGTGTGAATGAGAGAGAGAGGCATACAGAATCCGAGAGAAACAAGGGGGAGTCAGATGGAGAGAAAGGGGGTTAGCAGAAAGAGAGAGAGAGATGGATGCTGAACAAGAGGCTAGACGCTAAGGGAAGAGGGTATGAAGTGAAGATTGAGAGTCTGTGAGCATTATGTCAGCTAATGTGCAAGTGACCTCTAGAACTACTGTATAATCAAACATCAACAAACACATAGCACAACTGGAAAACCAATCCTGCGATAGCCTACTCTCTGTGTGTGTGTGTGTGTGTGTGTGCCCACATGCATGTGTGTTTATATGCTTGTTAATGTGCCTTAAAACTCAAGTGTGTTTTCTTATGTGATAATGTGCGTTAAACTGTACAAATCACTCTCCCTGCCAACACAATCCACACATCTTAACATTATGGTTTCCCTCCACTGTGAGCTGTCCTCGCTTCTCTTCAGACGACGTTTCCATTTCCCTGAGCCAGGAACACCGCTGGGAATAACAGCGCTCCAGGAGGGACACCGTTAAGCCTAACTGCTCATTCATTACCGGAGATCTGTCATGCCCTCATGACAACCTTGACAACCATCCTCATAAAATAAAAAAACAGCATTTAACCGTGTAACAGCAAGGAAGCCCATGCATTGATCCAAAGAGGAAACAGGGGGAAGAGAAATAGTGAGAGTGATGGGGGGAGAGAGAGAGAGAGAGAGAGAGAGAGAGAGAGAGAGAGAGAGAGAGAGAGAGAGAGAGAGAGAGAAACAGAGGGGTGAGAGAAGAGGGAAGACAGAGGGTTCTGTTCGTTCCTGGAGGATGACGTTAGGAAAGTTCCGGTCTCGGGAATCCTAAATCTGAGCGTCTCTGTTTTATGGTTGCCAGGTGAGCAATATTCCCTCAGACAGGTGCTGGGAGAGTTGGAGGAGCGGTTAAATTGAGTCAGGACAGTTGGAATGTGGGCGTTGCCAAGATTACATAAATCTTGCTCTTTGGACCTCCATGTGCCCCTGGTCACCACTATGGCCATTACCACTATGATCTTCATGGACTGGACCAGACAACCTACTGCCTGCCTGGGTGTGTGTGTGTGTGTGTGTGTGTGTGTGTGTGTGTGTGTGTGTGTGTGTGTGTGTGTGTGTGTGTGCATATGTGAGGTAGTAGGTACCTCTAGTTGCTTCAAATCTCTCTCTGTTTCTTCTCCTCTCTGTGCAGACTGATAGATTAGAGCAGCTGTAGGGGACTATGAGGGGATGACCCTGAATCACAGACCCCTCAATCATCCCACCCAGACTGGCCCTGTCAATGGCTAGGAGACACAGCCCTGACACACACACACACACACACACACACACACACACACACACACACACAGAGAGAGAGAGAAGCTAGAAAGACAAGTGGTAGAGACCGAGCGGAGGGTTTCAACATACACAGGGCAACAGGGGGCAAGGGGGGGGGGGGGGGGGGGGGGGGGGTGTCCTCTAACCCAACAAAGTTATTTCCCCCCTAAAAGATAAAAGGATCAAATCATTTAATGAATGTTTCTTAGAATGTCTATCGCCTGTCATCCTCTCTGACTGATCAAACCAGATCAAACGCAGCAGCAGCGATTATTTTTATTGGACTGAGGGGGACCAACAGGAGTTTTAATGAGAAGACCCGTCTCCCCCTCTTCCCTCCGTCTCCTCCCTCCCTCCCTCCGCTCCCGTATGATAACACGGCGGGGCGCATAAAGTCAGCCATTGTCTGAGTGAAGTGGCACACTCCTGGGCTGAGCGAGGGAGGAGAGGGGTGGGGGGGGGGGGGGGGGGGTGGTAACAGAGCCAGCTTCTGTGGCTCAGCTCTGGGACTGGTCCTCGGTGGAATTCACAGCTGCAGTACATCAAAGAGCCAGACTCCCACCAAGCCCCCCATGACAACAACACTAGGAAATCAATGCTTAGTTTCCCTCTATGAGATGGGATACGGATAGGTGTGGGGACCAGAGTTGAGAAACTGGGACAGAGCTGCGATCTCGCCTGTGTGGATGGATGGGAAGTGGAGGAGAAGTAGGGAAGGTTGAATGAGACGGAAATTGAATAAACTGAACATGTGTCCAGCCATAACAGTGGACATATAAAGATATAAACCATGTGTGGGAGGGCAGTCCTCCTTCTATAGTAACAGCAAGTGCTCCTGGTTGGACTTTCTCACGGGTGAGTTTTTCCACATCCTCATAAGTGAGGCATGGCTGGGAATTGCACACCAGCTATGTAAAGTCAATACAGATTGAAGATAGGATACAACAAAGGAATCTACTTTAGACTATTGAGATCAACCCTCAGCGAGTTTCCCATTCCCACCTGTAGCTATCAACATAGCTAGATAACCAGGCAGCATCAGACAGACAGCCAGACAGCCTGCTGATATGAACACTGAAGCCCTGAGCCTTCACATGATAGCACTTCAAAAGCCCCACACGCTGTATCAATGGAGGTCCTATTCTCCTGCCCCTCCACATAGGATGAGTGACACTATCTCTCTCTCTTGTTCTCGCTTTCTCTCTGACCCACGGAGGAAGAGCGTGAGCGACTATAATTTTAGCGGAAGAGGGGAGCAGATGAGATAGTAATTGTTAGCGTGGTTGTCAGTGACATGCATGGCTGACAGATGTTCAGGGCAGGTTGCAGAGCAGAGAGACCTGTGTCGGAGGTCAACGAAAACACCATCACCTCAGATAAAATGTCAAATACAAAGGCACATCAGAACAGCACACAACAGGAGAAGACAAAATACAACACTGCACAAAGCAGAGAACCACATATTGGACTTTCAGAGCTCTACACACGTCGACAAATCCTCAGTTGAAACACTGTTTTGCACAGCGCATGTGTTGTGCAACTCTGAGCAACCACATCTGAAATATCCCTCAGTAAGAACATAATACTATGGATTTCCTTTCCTATGGATGGAACACATAAATGTGGGGACTTGTGGTATGGAGAGGGAGTTTATACTGGGTTTGCCCTGGGGTCACACTGCTAACGACTACACCAGACGCTCTCACCAATTAGCCCTCGTTAGCACTCGTTATTCCCAAAACACGACATAAGGCTTTGTCCAATGCAATTTAAATCAAGGTTTTGTATGTTTGACACTAAATACATTCCGTCACCGTCCGCATGACATCCCCTCTTTAAATCATCCATTTTATAAGAGCAACATCAAGCAAGAGCCAAAAACCTCCTCAATATGGCGGACATATTGCAGAACCTTGAAAGCCCTTTTCTCACTGCTGTGCCTCAGTTGGTGTAGTTGACAGGTTGATGCATTCAGGTCACATTGATATGGAAAGTCCCTAACCTGTGTTTAAAAAGAAATGAAGAGAGGGGCTGGATGGTGATGTTAGAGAGAGTGGGGACAGGGAGAGAATGGAGGAAATGGGAATGAGCTCTGGCATCAAAATAATTCCTCTCCTCTGCCACCTTGCCACTCTCTCCTCTGATCCCTTAATGGTTTCCACAGTATGGCTCACAGGAGGGGGTGGTGGTGGCGTGAAACTGTTTGCCTGATTTGTAAATGTATGTCTGAGCATGAATGTGTGTGTGTCAGTGTGTGTGTGCACATCTGAGTATGTGTGTGTGGTGAAGCACAGAGTTGTGAGAGCACACTTGTGGTTTGTAGAGACTCCAGTCTCTGGGTGTTTCTCACACTGACTTCAGAACAGAAGGAAAGCATTAAGCCTCTAACGTTGTTATCCCCCAGACCACCCGGACTGGCTCAAGTCTTCCTTATATACTCTGCCACAATCGCTCAGAGCGTGTGTGTGTGTGTGTGTGTGTGTGTGTGTGTGTGTGTGTGTGTGTGTGTGTGTGTGTGTGTGTGTGTGTGTGTGTGTGCGCGCATGTGACAATTAGATTATTTCACTTCTAAACGGCAAATTAATTAATTCTCGCTAAGCCAAGCGGATCAGGAGGAACAAAGAAAAGTTGTGTTTCAGATCAAACTTTAAAAAACAATTTGCTGTGCTAGACAGGCACTGCAATTTGGTTATGTCTGCATGTCACATTCATGCACAAAAATGCCAATCAAATGCTGTGGAAATATAATCATTTCAAACTGTACATCAAGGGAGAGATGCTATCACTTGCCAAAGTCCCTCTGGCATAGCATGAGCTTGTAGCAGCCTTATAGTACAGGGAGCCAAGAGCAGGAGTAAGTTGAGTTGTGTGAGTGTGAGTGTGAGTGTGAGAGTGAGAGTGAGAGAGAGAGCGAGAGAGAGCGCTGAGGTACTAGCCCTGTCTTTGTTGATATAGTGAGACATGTATTAATCCAATCAAATCATCATAACACAGATAGACAGAGGTCTTAAGTCACACAGACAGATCAAATGGTCTATCTGCACAGGCAGGATGCTGAGAAGACTCCATCACATGAAGGATGAGAGGAATGGAGGGATGAAAGAGGAAGAGAGGGGATACAGGGAGGAAGGGGTTCTAAGAGCCTCTGAAACTCCATCCAAATGGGATGTCCTATAGGACAGAGAGAGGGAGCTTACTGTAGTTCACCTTCCACTCATATACAGTCACCTCCTAAATTATTGGCACCCTTGATAAAGATTAGTAAAAAAGACTGTATAAAATAAGTCATACAAATACTGAGCTATATTGTATGCTTGAAAAAAAAATGGCACACACGTACACCCTTCGTCCTCCTTTCATCCCAGTGCAAGGTGATACTGCTGTGTGTAGGAGTATGATGGGTTGGGGTCACAGGGTTGGATGTGTGATGTGTGTCAGCAGCATTCCAATCGTCCATACACCCTGTCCCAACTCAGCCTCTAGCACGTCTGAGAGTAACCACTCCTGACTGGTGGCTGGTGGATGAAATGGACTAATAGGATGGGGTTTGTGAATCCCTTTAGGCTCTGAGTCAAAACAGACTACATTAATTACAATGATGATGATTTATATATCTAATGTGCATTACAGTCACCTCCAAAATTATTGGCACTCTTGATATAGATTAGCAAAAAAAGACTGTAAAATAAATAATACAGGCCTCCCAAGTGGCGCAGCGGTCTAAGGCACTACATTGCAGTGCTAGAGGCGTCACTACAGACCCGGGTTCGATCCCGGGCTGTATCACAACCGGCCGTGATCGGGAGTCCCATAGGGTGGCGCACAATTGGCCCAGCGTTGTCCGGGTTAGGGGAGGGTTTGGACGGGGGGGGCTTTACTTGGCTCATCCCGCTGTAGCAACTCCTTGTGCTGGCATCAAAAGTAAAACATTTAAATAATAGGAGACCGAATGCGATCGGCCCACCATCTAATTGGCCTCCATATAATTCTTACAGAATTTCCACGTGGACGGCAATTTTGGATGACAATTTGTTCTTAACTAAGACAAAATAATTCATAATTGACTTTTTTCTGCACAACATAGGTACAGCAGATCCCCTTATTGTATGGGACACTTTTACATGTACTTTTAGAAGCCATTCAATACAATACTCATCATTAAAACAAAAGCAGTTTAGGTCAAAAGAGATTAGACTAATAAAGGAAATAGAGGAAATAACAGTGCAGGTAGATGGTAATGGAAACTGTACTATAGAAGCACAAAATAGGTTAGAGGAAAAACAAAAAGAATTGGAGGTACTTATTCAAGAACGATCAAACAAAAATAAAGCGAATTGGATGGAAAATTGTGAAAAATGCAAATTTTCTTGAATCTTCAACATAGAAATGCTACCAGAAATAATTTACAGAAACTCGTTACAAATGATGGAGTCATGCATGATTTACCAAATTATATTTTGAAAGAGGAAGCAAAATATTTTAAGCATATCTTTTCTTTTCAGTCTCTTCCATTTCCACTGAATGATGTTAACTGTAAGGATTTATTTCCTAATAATAATTATTATTATTATAATTATAATTATAATTAACACGTTTACAGAAAGACCTGTGTGAAGGCCAACTTATAGAAGAGGAACTTTTTGAGGCAATTAAATATTTTCAGTCTGGAAAAACACCAGGGCTTGATGGTATACCAGTAGAGGTATATATTGATGTACTCAAATATCCATTGTTAGCATGTTTGAATTACTCCTATAAACATTTTAGACTTTCAGGTACTCTACAAGAAGGTCTGATTTCATTACTACTAAAACAGGACCCATGTGGTAAGTATAAAGATCCAGTCCATTTAAAAAAAAAAACTGGACGCCTCTTACACTTCAATGTTGTGATGCAAAAATCCTGGCGAAATGCATAGCACATAGAATTAAAAAAGGTTTTACCAAATATTGTTCATCCTGATCAGACAGGTTTTTTACATGGACGATATATTGGAGATAATATACGACAATTACTTGAAACAATTTAACATTATGAAACCGCAAAGATACCAGGCCTGGTCTTCATAGCAGATTTTGAAAAGGCGTTTGATAAAGTACGAATAGAATTTATATATAAATGCCTGGATTACTTTAATTTTGGTAAATCTCTTATACAATGGGTTAAAGTTATGTACAGCAACCTCAGATGTAAAATAGTAAATAATGGTTACTTCTCAGAAAGTATTGAGCTTTTAAGAGGAGTAAAACAAGGCTGTCCGTTGTCTCCATATCTATTTATTATGGCCATTGAAATGCTAGCTATTAAAATTAGATTCAACAAGAACATCAAGGGTTTAGAAATCCAGGGGATAAAAACAAAAGTGTCAATGTATGCCGATGACTCAAGTTTATTCTTAAGTCCGCAATCTGGATCCCTGCACAGTCTCATTGAAGATCTTGATCACTTTTCTAGCCTCTCTGGACTAAAACCTAATTATGACAAGTGTACCATATTACGTATTGGATCGTTAAAAGACAGTGTTTACACTACCTTGTAGTTTACCCATAAAATGGGCGGATGGTGAAGTAGACATACTTGGTCTTCATATCTAAAAAAATAGAAATGAATATACCACAATCAATTTCAATTGGAAAGTTTGCAAAAATAGATACAATTCTGCAACCATGGAGAGGTAAATACTTGTCTATTTCTGGAAAAATCACATTGATTAACTCTTTGGTCTTATCACAGTTTACTTACTTACTAATGGCGCTGCCTACTCCAGACGACTCGTTTTTTAAATCATATGAGCAAAAAATATTTCATTTTATTTGGAATGCTAAGCCAGACAAAATTAAATGTCCCTATTTATATAATGAATATGAGTTTGGGGGGCTAAAATTGTTAAATATTAAAGCTTTAAACCTCTCACTAAAAGCTTCACTCATACATAAATTATACTTAAACCCAAAATGGTTCTCCAGTAGATTATTAAGAAAAGCTCATCCTTTGTCCAGAAATTGACTTTTTGCCTTCATACAGATTACAACTTCTAATTTCCAACTAATTGAAAATGAAATTTTGTTTCAAGTATCGCCCTTTCTTAAACAAGCCATACAAAGCTGGTTACAATTTAAGTTTTATCCTCCAGAAAAGCTAGAACAAATTATATGGTTAAACTCAAATATACGAGAAAGAAAGAAAGAAAGAAAGAAAGAAAGAAAGAAAGAAAGAAAGAAAGAAAGAAAGAAAGAAAGAAAGAAAGAAAGAAAGAAAGAAAGAAAGAAAGAAAGAAAGAAAGAAAGAAAGAAAGAAAGAAAGAAAGAAAGAAAGAAAGAAAGAAAGAAAGAAAGAAAGAAAGAAAGAAAGAAAGAGATAAACTAGGAAACAGAGAGGGTGTCAGATGTTTACCAACACTCATGAGGAATTAGTGACTGTTTGACATATAATTATCATTAATCTCACAGGCCTACAGCAAATAGAACCAGGAAATCATTGGTGGCTGTGCTGTGTGAACAATTTGTCAAGGATTTAGTCTGTTTTTCCTCTTTTCTCTCCTTAATTTCTGACCAAAAACAGGACCACATGTTCTTTGGGAGAGAATAGTTTATGCCTGCTAGGATGTGAGGACCACTCGGTGACCACAATAACCATTTGGGAGACAGTCAGCTCTTCCCAATGGACCATAATAACCACAGCCCTCACACTACCAGCAGGGGAAAACTGAGTATGTGTATGAGCTGTGTGTGTGTATTTATATAGTATGTGTGTGTCCATATGTGGCTCAAAAGTGTTTGCCCGTGTGTATAAGTATGTATGCATGTTTGACGCATCATAGGCGAGAGTGGGGTAAGTTGAGCCACCCTTGTTTCTAGGAAAACATACACAAAATTAATAATTTGACCAAATATTTAGTCTGAAAGAAAAAAAACACATGGAAAAAGAGGTAAGCAAGTTAGGTACAAAAAACAGATTTTCACCAAGTCAAATGGATTTATTGTGTTAGAAGTTCCATGACGCTTGTATTTAAACCAAAGTAGATCATTTAATGATTGCTCTATACATCCGTTGGGGTCTCTATATGCTTCAATATGAAGTCCTAAACCTAGCATGAAAGTGCATCCTTGTAGCAGTGTGGGCTAATATAGTCCAAATGTTTGCCTTTGGGTAAGTTGAGCCAATGATTGAGAATAATTTTCTTCCCAGGCGTAATGGAAGGCATTATCACTGGGATATGAGGTAACACCAGGGCCTGGCCTATGTCAAAGGTGTAAGTACAAAGTGTTTGTTAGGTGTGTTAAAAGATGATTCAAATGATTAAAAGACAAAGCGGTTGTGATTGTGTTGAATTGAATTGCGTTTGGGAAATAAAGATAGACATGTTTTTAAAAAGGTAGTGGTAATATTTGATTCAGTACAGACATTTGCAGGCGGCTTAATTTACCATTTCCCGCAGCTTAATTTACCCGATAAGTTGTGCCAAGAGACCACTTTTTGGGGACAAACTGTTTTCAAAACTGTAATGTTTACATAAATTCCGATTATTTCCAGGGATACACAACATCCTGAAATCTATGTAAATACCTTTGTTAGAAAGAATACTATATTTCCCTTGATGGAGTGATCCTGAATGTAAAAAATGACCTCAATTTACCCCACTGTCCCTATCCCTGTAATGTACTAAAATCTGAAATCTCCAGAAATGCTCCTCCTCTTAATGGCTCATATCCCTGCACTGATTGGTCAGCTAAGGGTCCGCTCCATCAACCCTGCCCCACCCCAGGACACCGCCCCATCGCCACCCTCATATCCAAGATGCATCAGGAGATAGGGAGGGAGGTTTGGAGAGGAGTGAGGGGGGTCAGGTGAGGGGGAGACAGAGCGTCCCGGACCACGTCCCAAACCAAACTCTTACTGGGGTGTGAAAGCTCAAATATAGCCCTTGACACAGGATCTCATGGGAACATCAGACCCTCTCAATCCCTTTACCACCCCCGCCCCTCCACATTCCAACTGTAATCTGGAAAATCCTGGCTCCGAAATATTAACCAACCGTATCTCGAAACGGCTGCTGCTCCACCGCCTCTCGACACCATTCGCGGCCGTAACCGACACTAAACTTTACAGGAACCAGCCGCGAAGGCTCCCTCTGCGAAACCCAACCACCGACATGACAAACGCTGTAAAAACGAAGGAACCGCACCGTTCCTTCTCAAACGAATGAATTGATTTTCCTTTGTTTACATGCTATGAAACTTGTGTTGGGTGCCAGACCAACATTGCTCATAAAAGGAAACACTTCCCATGCTCTGAGAATTGAAACCATGGCTCTGTAAAAGTAAATAGTGCGTGTCATTTGAATATGGTAAGGGGAATAGGGAAATAGTATTTTGTGTTCCTCTGATGTGGTCCTCCAGGTAAAGTCAGTGAACCCCAGACAGGAAGTCACTCTTGGTTAACTTGATGGGGAACATGAACTCCCACTAACCTTACATTTTACCTTGTTTTACTCATAATGGAGAAAACAACACATTTTAGAGTGCTAATCTAGGATCAGGTCCCCCCTATCCATATACAGTTATTCATTATAATCTAAAACTAAACACTGATCCTCTATCAGCACTCCTACTCTGAGACTTTGTGAATACAGGCCCAGGTCTCTGACAGTGCTTGTCCATCTGTGAGTGTTTGGTAGTGAGTTACAAGCGTGTAGAAATGCCCTGCCCACACCACGTACCTGCACGAAGCCACACATCACATGCTCTCCAAACATGGGCAGGCTGGGCCGGCTCTCGCGGTACATGTGCAGAGTGTATATTGTCATGACGACAGGCTCGGGCTCTGTGGCGGCCGACTCGTCCGTCACTAGAATGTTGATTATGCTGTTGCCCAGGCCGACCGGGTAGTTTGCCGTTCTGTGGAAAAACAGAAGCAGAGCATCTCAGAAACAAGGTCCAGGGAGATGAAACACACATAAGCACAAGCACACACACACACACACACACACACAAACACACACACACACACACACACACACACACAGAGAACAGAGAGATGAAAACACACACACACAGGATGGTGAGAGATAGGGTAGGGGGCTGAGGGAGAGTTTAGATTAATTCCTAAATGTCACGTTTAGCGCTATATGTGTGTGTCTGTGTCTGTCAGAGGTCAATCCTCTGACCCCAGTGCTACTGAGTCTAATGGATGCTAATCAGGGATTGGCTGCTGAAATCAAAGCTGCGGACATAAGAAACAGAGTTCGACAATCACACAGAGTGATCAAAACACTGGACTGAATACACACATTTCCAGAATTCAGATGCCATAACTAACTTACGTCTATATTTTAGACCTGAAGACTGGGCAGGTGTAAGCAATATGGGACAAGATCAAAAGGGCTAGTTGGAGATCTAACTATATTACTGCTAACACCTACCATCTCACTGAACGTGACCCAGGATACATTTGAAAGCCCAGCTTGTGACTCACAGGGTGAAAGGTCATGGCTGGGAGGGTCTCACCTAGGTCCTCTGTGCTCGTCCAGGTGTATGTGACAGACTGGGCTGATGGGCTCGGGGCGGAGGCGTAGGGTCACCACATCAAAGGGGACCTCAGCATGGTAGTCCTTCACCCAGGGACTGAAGGGGGGGCTAAGAGTCAGAGGGGGGTCTGTGTACAGCTGTCTGAGGTGGGGGTCCACACAACGCTCTGATACACACCACAGGGAGAAAGAGAGAGAGAGAGAATGGATTATATACAGATAAAAAGGCTTGCACACGTCACACCGTATGTGGATCTATCGTTCATCTGCCGATCGCTCAGCACACTGTGTTTTAACGCAAACCCTGCTGTATTTTTCATGCGATTGTACACGTAAAATCAGTGCGCACTCCCTTCACAAATTACATTCAGAGGTGTTAAATACTCTCAGCCAGCAAAAGTTATTGGTGTGTCTGAGCCCAAAGATATTCAGAATGCTGTTACACATTTATCCATCAGACAGAGCATCAAAGAACAAAGATAGTTATCTAAAGCATGCCTGCTTGGTGTATGTGTGTGTGTGTGTGTGTACGCGCTTATTATCCCCATTCAAATGGATTAAAGTTAAAGACATTCACATCAACACACACACACACTTATGTAATGGGAGGAAAAATGTTAACACACACATAGAGCAATGTTAATAATGATACCCTGAGGTCCACAAGTGTTGAGCACAAGCCCAGAGAATGCTCTCTTTCTGTGGAGGCAATTTACTCTGGTGTGTGCCAACCTCAAGCAGTCTGCAGATGCAGGGGGCACAGCAGGTCCACCTACCAAACCTCCCAGCCTGAAGCACCGCCACAAGGCGACATATTTTACCGTGAACACTGCAGCAGAAGGGAACTCCTTCTCTGCTCTTTCGTCCTTGTGAGGCTACAATACATCGAGTTTCCCAGGGAAGCTGTGAAGCGCGGGTGAAGCTGTGAAGTCAGCTGTAGCCTATTGCATGATTGTGTTTATGAGTCTGTTATTAAAGAAAGTGAAACAATGTTGTGTATGTTAACTATTGCATGATTGTGTTCATGAATCTTATTAAAGGTGTATGTTTACTGCTTTTCATTAAATCGTGTATGGCTACACATTTTGTTATGGCCTAAAATAAATGTTGTTCATATGGGCTGAATATTGTAGCCTAGGCCTATATAAATTCGTTAATATGGTATATAAAGTGTGGCGCCTTGAAAGCGCCTCAGCTCCAGCCAGCATTTGTTTGTCTGAAAGGGTACACTATGGCTTTTTAAATGCCGCCACGAAACCTTCTCTGGAGATAGTTTCGAAGCGCCACTGAATGGGCATTTAACTTGCCGGTAACGAAATGCCGCTTCTGAAGCATGGCTAAAGTCCATCACTAGGCAACCAAAACGGTCAATGAAATGATCTCGAGCTGTCTGCAAGCAGCCTGCCTGTCTGCTGCCTGCGCGCAGACAACCCACTCCTAAAAAGTACTTCGAAGTTCGGTAAATTCAATGACTTTTAGTAGAAAGAAAACACATCTACCCTACCATAAAAAAAAACCTGCAGAAAAACAACAAAACAGCACATTAATCAGCATTGTTTATTGTTGTCAGGGAAACAATACCGAACATTCTATGCCGGAGCAGAATTATACTGCCTGAAAAGGTACAGATGCTTCTGATGCTGCACAACAAAATTGTCTGAAAGGTTATCAATTGTCGCGTCCTATGTATGAAAATTGGTTGGTTAACTAGGAGATAACCCCGTCAGTGAGGGTTATGCAACCTCGGCATTCGAAAACATCATATTCGGTGCACTCCCAGAAGGACTTATTGGCGGTCTGTCGTTACAGTCTGTAGGTGTAGCCTTCATGCGCCAGGATATTTTCTCCACACACAGAGGATAAATTCGGGTTCCATTGCTTGTTCTACTCCTCTGAGAATAATGAATCCTGAGGATAGCAGTGCAAGATCCTTTTATGCAGAATAATTTGATTTTAGCACATGAACGACTTGCAATTCGACTGCTGGCCTATCAAAGCCATCCATCCAGTCTTTTTTAATTGAAATGTCTGCCTTTTATCAGATACATTTTTTCTGCATTCAATGTTTTATTTTCATAACTGATCAAAATTCGGTATGCTATACCCTATAAATAATATTCTGCCCATATGAACACATTTATTTTAGGCCATATAAAGAAAAGCTATGCATGATGTACTAACAAGGATCAAACAGAAACAACATTGTTTCACATTCTTTAATAAAAGACTCAAACAGAAATAGGCTATAATGCTGGCTTCACAGTTTCCCTGCCAAATAGGCCTACAAGGAAACTCGACATACACTACCAGTCAAAAGTTTGGACACACCTACTCATTCAAGGGTTTCTCTTTATTTTTACTATTTTCTCAGCTAATTGGCTGGCTCGGGAGCGCCTCACCAACAGGATGTTTAGGAATGGATTGGAATTAGAATGCTGTATATCTTAATGGTTTGAAGTGTGGCGCTCTGAGTTCACCAGAACTCCACACAGGGAGGTTTACGTGTCTTTTTGTAGAGCAAAACTACACTGTGCACAGACCCTCTCGCGCACCCAATGTCTTCGATATACAGTACCAGTCAAAAGTTTGGAAACACCTACTCATTCAAGGGTTTTTCTTAATTTTTACTATTTTTTACATTGTAGAATAATAGTGAAGACATCAAAACTATGAAATAACACATATGGAATCATTTAGTAACCAAAAAAGTGTTAAACAAATCAAAATATATTTTATATTTGAGATTCTTCAAATAGCCACCCTTTGCCTTGATGACAGCTTTGCACACCCTTTTCATTAAACTTTTGACTGGTACTGTATATCGAAGACATTGGGTGCGCGAGAGGGTCTGTGCACGGTGTAGTTTTGCTCTACAAAAATACATGTAAACCTCCCCGTGTGGAGCTCTGGTGCGCCACACTTCAAACCATTGAGATATACAGCATTCTAATTCCAATCCATTTCTAAACATCCTGTTGGGAGGTGCTCCAGAGCCAGCCAATTAGCAGACACCTGAGCAGCGCCTCACCTCTGTCTCCAGGGATGTCCTGGGAGCTTGAGTGTTGGTCCCACCCAGTCTGTGTCTCTGCCTCATCGGTCCTATGGGAAACATAGAAGACTGTCATTATTTAGAAAATAAATGTCCCATTGGAACAGGGAATAATGGGAACATCCCCTCAATCATTCTGAGGACTTTCCCTGCAATAAAAACAACAAAAGAGCGATGACAAACTTTATCCCTCTAATAAAATGACATTTTTATAAGTCTATCAAGCACATTCTTGATAGACTTATAAGTCTCACACAAACCAACTGCACAAATTCAGAAATATGGATAGGAAAAATGCACATATGGTGATCAAAGACACACACACACACAAACACACACACACACACACACACTTTCCTGGCCAGCGTCAACATTCCAATTGGTTCCCTTCTGGCCTATATGAGGTCCAGAGGAGATTATCAACACTTGTTATAACCGTCATCCAATCACAGTAAACTATACTGGCTGTTCTCCAGACACGTATCCTCCCTCCTTCTTTCTCTAGCCTGATACCCTCTCCCTTTTCTTCTCTTCCACCCCCGTTTCCTCCACTTCCCACATCCAGCACCCTGTTCCCCTTCCATTCCTCTTCCAAACCCTTCCATCACCAACCCCTCTACCCCTTACCATACCCATTCCTCCACTACCTCCCTCTCTTTCCTCCCATCATCCTCATAATTCCGCCTGGTTCCCTGCCTGTGAGCGTGCTACATGCTCCTAGCTCCTAGCTCCGTGCTCAGCCCCAGAAGTCCACCCAGCCCAAAGGCAGAGGGAGGCTGTGTTCTGAGTGGCAGCAGCCCAGCTCCGTGCCACAGGCCTGAGAAGGATGGGAAGCCAGATGGGGTCCGCCAGTGGAGCCAGCACCCAGCTAAGCAGGGATTTAACCTAGTTCTGTTCCAGTCTGAGTGGATTGGGCCTGAAGCTCCTCTCTCCTGCTACAGCCAGACTAACGTACATGTGCCTGGGGCTTAATGAAGGGATGCTTAGGGGAGGTTGGGGAACGAAAACCATCCTTAATTCAGCCAAGCTTTATGACCCCCAGCCCAGTCATTTTTCTGTTCAATTGTTTGGTAAATCCTTTCCAAATATATGGAGAGTAAGACAACACCAAGGGGATAGAGCAAGGTAACAGAACCTCATGTGAACTGATTGACGTGTGTGTGTGTGTGTGTGCACACTTGTGCTCACCTGTAAGTCTGGTTCCTCTGCTCTGTATAATGAGAACAGACTCTGTCCAACAATGCTGAGAAATGCAGCCCACTCCCAGACTCCTCTGCTCTAGGGAACGATCGAAACAGAAAGTCTTGGATAGGAGAACGCTCCGGAGAAGCTGCGGGATAAAGCTGGATATAGACAGGTTTTCAGTTACTGGGAATACATACACTCTAAATAACATGATTACAATCTGGAATCACTGCAATTGTTCTGTATCAATGACTACATTATGCTTCAGAATGAATCTGGTAATACTCTATACAGTGCATTCGTTAAGTATTCAGACCCCTTCCCCTTTTCCACATTTTGTTACGTTACAGCCTTATTCCAAAATGGATTAAATAATTGTTTTCCCTCATCAATCTACACACAATACCTCATAATGACAAAGCGAAAACAAGTTTTTAGAAATGTTTGCAAATGTATTACAAATAAAAAACAGAAATACCTTATTTACATAAGTAATCAGACCCTTTGCTATGAGACTCGAAATTGAGCTCAGGTGCATCCTGTTTCCATTGATCATCCTTGAGATGTTTCTACAACTTGATTGGAGTCCACCTGTGGTAAATTCAATTGATTGGACATGATTTGGAAAGGCACACACCTGTCTATATTAGGTCCCACAGTTGACAGTGCATGTCAGAGTAAAAACCAAGTCACGAGGTCGAAGGAATTGTCCGTAGAGCTCCGAGACAGGATTGTGTCGAGGCACAGCTCTGGGGAAGGGTACCAAAAAATGTCTGCAGCATTGAAGGTCCCCAAGAACACAGTGGCCCCCATCATTCTTAAATGGAAGAAGTTTGGAACCACCAAGACTCTTCCTGGAGCTTGCCGCCCGGCCAAACTGAGCAATCAGGGGAGAAGGACCCTGGTCAGGGAGGTGACCAAGAACCCGATGGTCACTCTGGCAGAGCTCCAGAGTTCCTCAGTGGAGATGGGAGAACCTTCCAGAAGGACAACCATCTTTGCAGCACTCCACCAATCAGGCCTTTATGGTAGAGTGGCCAGGCGGAAGCCACTCCTCAGTAAAAGGCACATGACAGCCTTGTGGTTTGCCAAAAGGCACCTAAAGGACTCTTAGACCACGAGAAACAAGATTCTATGGTCTGATGAAACCAAGATTGAACTCTTTGGCCTGAATGCCAAGCGTTACATCTGGAGGAAGCCTGCCACCGCTCATCACCTGGCCAATACCATCCCTATGGTGAAGCATGGTGGTGGCAGCATTATGATGTGGGGATGTTTTTCAGCGGCAGGGACTGGGAGACTAGTCAGGATCGAGGGAAAGATGAACGGAGCAAAGTACAGAGATATCCTTGATGAAAACCTGCTCCAGAGCGCTCAGGACCTCAGACTGGGGCGAAGGTTCACCTTCCAACAGTACAACGACCCTAAGCACACAGCCAAGACAACGCAGGAGTGGCTTTGGGACAAGTCTTTGAATGTCCTTGAGTGGCCCGGACTTGAACCCGATCGGACATCTCTGGAGAGACCTGAAAATAGCTGTGCAGCAACGCTCCCCACCCAAACTGACAGAGCTTGAGAGGATCGGCAGAGAAGAATTGGAGAAACTCCCCAAATACAGGTGTGCCAAGCTTGTAGCGTCATACCCAAGAATACTTTAGGCTGTATTCGCTGCCAAAGGTGCTTCAACAAAGTACTGAGTAAAGGGTCTGAATACTTATGTAAATGTATTTTCAGTTTTTTTTTTTTATACATCTGCAAAAATCTCTAAAAATCTGTGTGCTTTGTCATTATGCGGTATTGTGTGTAGATTGATGAGGCGAAAAAACCATTTAATCAATTTTCGAATAAGGCTGTAACTTAAGAAAATGTAGAAAAAGTGAAGGGGTCTGAATACTTTCTGAATGCACTGTAACAGAGAGTAATGTGGAATAGATGATTACCAGTTCAAATGGCCCTGGTGTCCTCAGCTGACGGAGGAACTGGAGGAGGAGGAGAGTCTGGTGTTCTGGTAGACAGAGACCGTATGTCCCCCCACAGCCACCATACTGACCAGAAACACACAAAACAAATTGTGAGGGTCCATGGAATTATGATATCTATTAACATTTCTCTCTGAAATTGTACTGTTAAAAAGAGTCCATCGTTATTGCCCTCACAGTATTGAGTGCTTTATTAAGTTAAACACAGTTGTTTAGTACCCTCTGTCCATCGTCTGTCTCAGTGTGCGAAGGGCTCTTCAGACTGGCCTGTCCACTGTGTGCTGGGAGTAGGAAGAGAAGAGCGTCTTCCAGGATGAACTCTTTTGTGATCTGTCCGTCAAACCCTGGGTCCCTCAGCCCATCAAAGTGCAGGTCAATCTCAGCCTGACAGACAGAGATTAAGGGAAATTTTTAGCAATGGCTTTTAGTAAGGTACTGAGAGTAAGCATGTTCTGCCACCTAGTGGATATATGAGTTATTTTAATACTGTAGGAAACGAATGAATGTGTGCCAACACAATGGCCTGCTCCCTTCCTTCTACCCTGACTCACACTTAGAGGTCTGAAGGTATTGGAGAGGTGTAAGCAATGAGGGGAATTCAAGGAAGGAATTAGTCAGACTGGACCTTAGAGATATGTTGGTTTTCTAAGATGAGTACATGGAACAGGCTATAAAGCCTACAGAAGGAAACATCATCATGTTTATTGGTGGCTCGGGTTAAAGGAGTGGAACCAATGGACACCATGTTTGGAATCTGGAAAAAGGGGAAGGCGTCTCTGGGTCAAACCAATTAAAATACTTCAAGGGAGACCCTTTAAGTGTAATGGCTTTTATAACTGTGACTAGTTGTATCACTCAGCAGCATGCATGGGTATGTGCGTGTGTGAGTGCACGTGTGTTTGTATGCAACCGACATGTATGCAGCACAACAGCTAAAATACTGACTCTCACTTCTCTGCTCAACTCGGAAGTTACCCTACACGACCAAAAGTATGTGGACACCTGCTCAGCGAACATCTCATTCCAAAATCATGGGCATTAATATGGAGTTGGTCCCCCCTTTGCTGCTATAACAGCCTCCACTCTTCTGGGAAGGCTTTCCACTAGATGTTGGAACATTGCTGAGGGGACTTGCTTCCATTCAGCCACAAGAGCATTAGTGAGGTCAGGCACTGATGTTGGGCGATTAGGCCGGGCTCGCAGTCGGCGTTCCAATTCATCCCAAAGGTGTTTGATGGGGTTGAGGTCAGGGCTCTGTAAAGGCCAGTCATGTTCTTCCACACCGATCTCAACAAACCATTTATGTATGGACCTCGCTTTGTGCACGGAGGCATTGTCATGGTGAAACAGGAAAGGGCCTTCCCCAAACTGTTCCCACAAAGTTAGAAGCACAGAATCGTCTCGAATGTCATTGTATGCTGTAGCATTAAGATTTCCCTTCACTGGAATTAAGGAGCCCGAACCATGAAAAACAGCCCCAGACCATTATTCCTCCTCTACCAAACGTTATAGTTGGCACTATGCATTGGGGCATGTAGGTTTCTCCTGGCATCCGCCAAAGCCAGATTCATCCGTCGGACTGCCAGATGGTGAAGCGTGATTCATCACTCTAGAGAAGGCGTTTCTACTGCTTCAGAGTCCAACGGCGGCGAGCTTTACACCACTCTAGCCGACGCTTGGCATTCCGCATGGTGGACTTAGGCTTGTGTGCTGCTGCTCGGCCATGGAAACCCATTTCATGAAGCTCCCAACGAACAGTTCCTGTGCTGACGTTGCTTCCAGAGGCAGTTTGGAACTCAGTAGTGAGTATTGCAAACGAGGACAGACGATTTTTACGCGTTACGTGCTTCAGCAATCGAAGGTCCCGATCTGTGAGCTTGTGTGGCCTACCACACCTAGAAGTTTCCACTTCACAATAACAGCACTTACAGTTGACCGGGGCAGCTCTAGCAGGGCAGAAATTTGACGAACAGACTTGTTGGAAAGGTGGCATCCTATGACGGTGCCACGTTGAAAGTCACTGAGCTCTTCAGTAAGGCCATTCTACTGCCAATGTTTGTCTATGGAGATTGCATGGCTGTGTGCTCGATTTTATACACCTGTCAGCAACAGGTGTGGCTGAAATAGCTGAATCCACTAATTTGAAGGGGTGTCCACATACCTTTGTATATATAGTGTATATTGCCATCTTTGAATGTTGCTAGTCTCACAGTCTTATGGCGCACCTAGCGACTACTCTAAAACACCATCAGTAGAGACCGGCTACAGTAGTAATGTGCCGACCCAGCAATAATCCCCTCTTACCTTCACTATGACAGGCAGAAGGGAACCACTGAACTGAAGAGTGAACGTCATCAGCTGGAAACACAGGAGACACCACCTACAGGAGAAACAGTCATAGAATAGTGACAAATCAGAACGACGCACAGAGATGAATACTTGAACAGCTGTGAGGTTGATTTGAGGGTGGCTAACCTGTGCCGAGAGCTAGGCTCCTCATTGGTCAACGCTGCCGCCATCAACACCTGACCTATGACCTCCTTCACATGGCCCAAGGCCTCATTGGACGCATCAGGACCCAGCTGCTGCAGAAAAAAGGTATTGAGCTGAGAGAGAGCGATGAAGAGAAGGAGAAAGACAGAAAGACAGAAAGAGAGAGAGAGGGTGAAAGAGAGAGAGAGAGAGAAAGGGATAGAGAAAGAGAGGGGGGATAAAGAGGAGATAAAACTTTTGTCAGTATTAAAAAAGTCTGAAGAAGTTCAAGTCTGTACCCAGCAGAGTTGGATAGATTCCAACTGAATTATTACACCTCAATATCAGTCAAGGCAATAATTGATATGCGCTCGAATGGAGAGATTCCATGTAAATGTAATATTTAAAAGGAATTGATCACTTGCGACGCACTGCTGTGGCAAAATAAACACTTTATACTCTGTTCCAACAGGTGGCGGTAAAGGTCCACATTCATTAATCCACAACCCCAGCATTGATATGACAGAAAAACTACAACCACTCTCTCTCAGACAGATTTAATTTGAGATAATCCCAATAAGGGGCCAGCGAGTGACGTTTGGACAGGGTTGGGAATCAGGCATTACGGTGCTCATATCCGAAGCATGTGGCGTGGTTGGCTCGTCCACAGCAACACATGCACGCGCCCACATGCCCGCACGAACAAACACACACACTGAACACTATTAATAGGGCCTTTTAAAACGACTGGGAGTCTTTGGAGACAACAACATCATAATGGCAGTAGGATCAGGACGTTCAGAGCTCCAGATATTTGGAATGGTTTTGGTCATCTGGTGACTCAGATAGTTTGAGTTTTATAGACACGTTGGAGATGTCAACGAGAGGTTAACTAGTCAGAAGAGATATTTGATTGGTATAACAGAGTGGAAAGTTGGGTTATTGGAAAGGAACACTATGGTTTACTGTGTTTCTGCCGCAGAGAGACAGTTCTGGCAGTAGTTTTGTGTGTGTGTGCGTGTATGTGTTTGCACATGCTCCAATATTTTAGCATGTTTACGACTGAAGAAGCACAAAAACAACACTAGGCCCGAAGGTAACTTTAAGAAATAACTGGAGGAAATAATTAGCAAAAACATGATGTGCCATCATAGCTATATATCAAATCTATCCATTATACTGCATGTGTAGTCAGAGTGTATCCACTTGGCCTGTTTGCAGCACAGTGTGAATTGAAAGCCCTAAGCTAATTTAGGAGCAATATGCTAGCAGCGCACTTAGCCAGCTACCACACAACCCTCCACTACACAGCTGTAACAGCCTAATCAACATCACATGGAGAAAATACGCAGCGCAAACATTCTGGAGAGGAGGAAGGAAGAAACAAGAGTTTCCTAAGAGGCATAGCACAGTGTACAGCTCAAGGTCTCTACTATGTTTACTGTAGGTCCAGCTTTATCAAAGACTCAGGGCTACAGTCAATCAAATCAGTTAAATATATGATATATATATACAGTTGTGGTCAAAGGTTTTGAGAATGACACAAGTATTGGTCTTCACAAAGTTTGCTGCTTAAGTGTTTTTAGATGGTTTTGTCAGATGTTACTATGGTATACTGAAGTATAATTACAAGCATTCCATAAGTGTCAAAGGCTTTTATTGACAATTACATTAACTTTATGCAAAGAGTCAATATTTGCAGTGTTGACCCTTCTTTTTCAAGACCTCTGCAATCCGCCCTGGCATGCTGTCAATTAACTTCTGGGACACATCCTGACAGATGGCAGCCCATTCTTGCATAATCAATGCTTGGAGTTTGTCAGAATTTGTGGGTTTTTGTTTGTCCACCCGCCTCTTGAGGATTGACCACAAGTTCTCAATGGGATTAAGGTCTGGGGAGTTTTCTGGCCATGGACCCAAAATATCGATGTTTCTTTCCCCGGGCCACTTATTTATCACTTTTGCCTTATGGCAAGGTGCTCCATCATGCTGGAAAAGGCATTGTTTGTCACCAAACTGTTCTTGGATGGTTGGGAGAAGTTGCTCTCGGAGGATGTGTTGGTACCATTCTTTATTCATGGATGTGTTCTTAGGCAAAATTGTGAGTGAGCCCACTCCCTTGGCTGAGAAGCAACCCCACACATGAATGGTCTCAGGATGCTTTACTGTTGACATGACTGTCTGACTGATGGTAGTGCTCACCTTGTCTTCTCCGGACAAGCTTTTTTCCGGATGCCCCAAACAAAAGATTCATCAGAGAAAATGACTTTACCCCAGTCCTCAGCAGTCCAATCCCTGTACCTTTTGCAGAATATCAGTCGGTCCCTGATGTTTTTCCTGGAAAGAAGTGGCTTCCTTGCTGCCCTTCTTGACACCAGGCCATCCTCCAAAAGTATTCGCCTCACTGTGCGTGCAGATGCACTCACACCTGCCTACTGCCATTCCTGAGCAAGCTCTGCACTGGTGGTGCCCCGATCCCGCAGCTGAATCAACATTAGGAGACGGTCCTGGCGCATGCTGGACTTTCTTGGGTGCCCTGAAGCCTTCTTCACAACAATTGAACCTCTCTCCTTGAAGTTCTTGATGATCCGATAAATGGTTGATTTAGGTGCAATCTTAGTAGCAGCAATATCCTTGCCTGTGAAGCCCTTTTTGTGCAAAGCAATGATGACGGTACATGTTTCCTTACAGGTAACCATGGTTAACAGAGGAAGAACAATGATTTCAAGCACCACCCTCCTTTTAAAGCTTCCAGTCTGTTATTCTAACTCAATCAGCATGACATAACCTCCCGAGTGGTGCAGTGGTCTAAGGCTGTGCCACTAGAGATCCTGGTTCGAATCCAGGCTCTGTCGTAGCCGGCCGCGACCGGGAGACCCATGGGGCGGCGCACAATTGGCCCAGCGTCGTCC